AAAAAAAAAAAAATTCTTTTAGGAGATTCAGAGGTCAAGATTTTTGACCACAGAAAAAAATGCACAAAATAATCCTTAAGAATATTCTACGCAAAATATGTTATAGAATGAATTAAAACATAAATTTTGTTTCATGCAAAGTTTTGAATTTATTCCTAAAAATTAGAATATTACCACTAAGGTTAAATTTAAAACAAAACACCCATCTTTTGCTTTAATTGCAACTTGTCGCTCTTTACTAGCAACTTGGTATAGCGACTTTCTTATGTAAACATGCAGGGGATTTGTGATTAGCTTATATTTACTGACAAGAGAGGAAGGAGTTTTTGCAAAGTTTTGTTAAATTAGATCTTACAGCAAAATGAAAGCGAAAGACAAGGTAGTGCAACTTTCTTACGTAAACAAGCGGGGGGAGGGGGAAGGTGTAATTTTCATATTTTTTCTGACAATGAAGGAGAATCTAAAATGAACAAAAACATGTTTACGTGATTCTTGAACGGCTTTGTTACATTGAAAATAAATTTTATCAAATAAGGCTTATTTATGTTTTGAATTTTTTAAAAAAATTTATTATATTTATCTGCACTCATACAGCAGAATGAAAAATTTTACTAAGCCCCTCTCCCCAAAAGAGAAAATACACATTTTTTTTATTAAAATCGAATACTACAAACTTTTTAAATTTGCAGCAAGCCATTGTTAGCCTTTTTCTGACTCTCATAATTAAATAAAATGTTTAGAAACTAAAATTAGCCTACAATAAAATGTTCAAAAAAGCAGTACAAAAACATGGGTACAAAATACTGATTAAATTTTTTTTTATTGTTTATATACAGTCATTTTTCAACGAATATAATTTAACAGACAATTTAAACGAATAATTGGCACATAACAAATAATATTTCGATTTTTTTATGCTTGACAATACATTTTTGTGATTTTTTATAATGCAATTAAAAAGAAAAACATACACAAATTAGATTATGATTATATGAAATAATGATCATATTGTATTGAAGAACTTAATATCACGCTACTTTTCTTTTGATGAGGCTATGCTGACTAAAATAGATATATAAATTTTCACATTCATACTTAGCCTAGTATGCAATTATATAAATACTGAATGAACTGGAAGAGAAAGGATTAATTTCCTAAAAATAGGAACAGGTGTGGCACCATAAAAAGAGTCCTCTGCCCCCCCTTTCATTCTCGTAGAGGGTTTTGTTGGGAAACATTCAACACACTCAAATTTTTATTCTTTTTTTCGTCCACAAATTGCATTTTTTAACAGCTATTAAGTCATGGTATATTAGATTGTTTGTGTCCGTCCATTGTTGCCCTTTAATACAAGCGGCTAAGGGGAGGACAATTCCACAATGTTAAAAACTCAGTGTGATGTCAGAATGGAAAAGAGTAAAATTACACTGAGGATAATGGGGATTTTTTCATTTGCCTCCTTGGAGCATTGACTACGTTTTTTTAACGAAATTATAAACAGTCCTTTCTAATGCATACTTATTTAAACTACTTGTTGTTAAAAAATTTGTCTTCTTTGCTGTCATCCAAATAGAATCGCCGAATGTGGCAAAATATATTCATAGATTTCTAATTTGTACAAATAATAAATTAAATATAAAATAATTAATAAAGTTGATTTTCAATGTTTTTTTTTTATAAAATTTTAACTAGAATGCATGACTTCTTATTCCCCTTTCAAGCATGAACAGAATTTTGGGAGCTCCCTCTGATATTTTAGAATAACCCCTCTATGGATCAAAACAATATTTAAAAAAAAAAANAAAAAAAAAAAACTCCATTCTTGGTGTCGACATTACAAAGCTAATAAAAAATATTTTTTGGACTAGTCTATGTTTCTTTATATAAAAAATAATAAAAGTTTAAATAAATTAATAACGAAAGATAATAGAAAGAGCACCGCAAAAATTGAGCGAGGGTGATTTTTTGAAAAGTTCCTACCAGCTATGTATTCCAAAGTCCCCTTTTTGTTCGTTTTCTGAATTTTCTAAATCAGTTTTTATTACAGAATTGTCCTGCCCTTAGACGCTTGTCCCTTTAATAGCCTGAATAAATTAGAATTATTTTTTGTTCTCACCAATCGTATTTAACCAAATTGAATGAATTCAGCTTTTTGGCAGCTTAAATTATTGCAATAATGAAGTTGTATTAGGTACACTTCAAACAATAAAAATAATCATTTGCAAAGCTTAATATTAAAACCGTATTGTTACCCTGATTCTCTGATTTTAACCCGATAGTTATGTAATAGATTCTTAATTTTTAATGTCTTTTTTTAAATAACTTCTGGATAACATACGATTACGTTTTAATTCAATCAAAATTTATTACTTGACGTAAGAAAATATTTTTAATATTTCCTATTTTTCCAAGTTTTAAATTTATTTATCCCGAAAACATGAAAAATTGGGTTGAAAATACAAATGGTTTGAAACAGGATTCATATGTTAATATAAACAGTGCCCTCTAGCTGGGAAGTAAAGAATAGACTCATCAAAGAATTGCAATTTTAATTTATTACCAAAGAATTGTAATTTATTTTTATTTGTAATTTTTATTCATCTCCCTTTTTTTTCTTCTTAATGGCATTTTATGCTTACTTATTGGTTAAATAGATACCACGAATCCAAGTTCACAAACAATGCCATATTTACACATATCTTTCTCAATAAGACATAGGTTTCTTAAGAGGACAATACAGCAATAATCAATAGTAAATATGATATTTCAATCATTATGGATAACCATGATTAATGAATTTAATCCTGCTGCGATTATTATCGATAACATCACAACCTTTATTATTGAATATGATATAAGTGCGTTTTGAAATAAATTTTAAATTGAATGAAATAAATTGAATGAAATAATATTTGAAATAAATTTTAATGAAAATATTGATGAATGTAAAAATAATATAACTTAGTAAATTTTTATAAATCTCGCGAAAGATTGTTAAACCTATATTCCTTTTTTGATATACAACATCACGATCTTATTAATTTGTACTTATTGCCTCAGAGCTCCAGTTGGCAACAACTTTGAAAAGTAGTAGCAAACATTTGATCTCTCTAATCGATGAGTATACTTAAATTACATGAAAACTCTTTGTTTGATATCCGGTTATTTGAAAATAACTTTTTGTACATTCACCTGCTTTTTAGCATTCATTTTTAAATGTATTTTTTCCCCAAAATGAATAAAATTTGGTTTAAAGTACAATTGCTTTGAATCATGATTCAATATCCATATTTACAGTACAAAGTTCCATTACCGACATCTGTAAACGTCTATTTCCCAGACATTTCTTAACAATAAAAAAAAAGAACCTCTTTTCCTTATTTAAAAAATTTTTTTTGGATACACACTTTTAATCTGTTAAAAAAAAAAAAATCTTTTCCTTATCACCTTTGCCACAGCTAACTTTTTATTGTCTCAAAAAGCACACAAAGAGAGTTAAACCAAGAACAGTTAAATGAAAACAAACATTTGGGAGAAGAATAAACTATGAATATTAATAGTGAGTGAAAAGTACATCAGCCGACAAGTTTTCTTTCTCTTTAAATTATTAATAGATTCAGTGTGCCTTGCTATGACTGTTTTTTTATCTCCATTAAATCAGATTAACTGGAATTTAAGCCTCACTTTTTGATGTCATTTTCAGAGTTCTCCCTAGGTATAAAGAATGGCAGAGCACTTCCTCTTTGGAAAGGGAACTTTGAGTTTTGAAAGGGCACTCAACATCGCAAAAATTTATTAACATGTGTTAGATTTTGTAATACCTGAATTTGATCCACAACAATTTATAATCTATCCTCTTATACTGATATACGTGTAGATTTCAAAAAATAATGATCCTCCAAAATAAGTAATTAAATTTGTATTTTAGAAAATAAGTAAAAGACATGCTAAGAGAGAATTTCTATGCATAAATTTTTTTCAAAAAAAGTAAACTAAAAAAAAAAATTCATTGGTAAACTTACAGTTTGAAAACATTTTTCTATAATTTAAACTGAAAATAAGAAAATGAAGATTCAAAAGGTGGATTACTTTTTTAAAAAAACAGTTGGTACATATTTAAAAAATAATTTTCAAATTAAAAAACATTATACGTTTATTCAGGGATGAGAGTAGTCAGAAAGTAAAAAAGAGGAAATCCAAATGATGGTGACCATCNTACTATCCCCCCTCCCCCCCGAAAAAAGAGATACTTATAAATATTTAACTAATTTGGAATAATACTAAGAAAGTAAATATTTGTAACAGTAATCAGAATTAAACCAATAAACAGAGATATTTTTACTACTGTGTTAATTATTATTTAAACAGTGAATTAATTTCTTTCAAAATGGAACATGAATAAAAAGGCAGTGTTTTTAAGGCAGCTTATCTTTTAAAAATGGGCACATTTATTGGGATCAAAGTGCAAGCAGGACAGGCCACCCTTCAAAAGAAAGAACACTATTACATTTATCCGATTATCTGAGAAGATAATTTTTTCTCATCAAATTGAAAAAAAAGGAGGGAGAGACTTCACTCTTGAAAGAGAAAATTCCAATTATCTGCTCACTTTCAGTTTTTGCTTGTTTGTTATTTTATCACATTTACAGGGTATCTGCTACATTTTAGATTTTCAAATTCATGACTTTCCATGACTAATTCCAAGAATTTTTCATGACTTATAGAAGTTACTATTTTCTCTCACAAAAATGTAACAATAAATTTAAAAATGCATTATAATAACATTCATTGAAATGATAATTATAACTAAAACAGTTAGACTCTGCATCTTCATATTTAGAGACTTTAAATTTAAAAAACAGAGTAAAGAAAGAGCTGATAAAAAAATACCAAAGCAAATTCTTTTTTCTGTAGAATTATATTCTAAAGATACTTTTCTTACGGATCAGAAAGGAAAGAAATACTCCTTATTTGTCTGTTCTCATTTTGAAATTAAAAAAAAATTGCCAATGATTGGCTTGCTTCCGCTTGAAATTTAAATTCATATAAAAATAAATAATACAAATTCTTAAATCACAGAAGTTTAAGATAATTTGCTCTAGAAATGATGCTTTTTCTTTTATTCTTATTTCCACAGTATATTCTTCCCCAGCAAAACACCCCCTGTCAAAAAAGTTCCGTCCCCACCACTAATTAGGAATGACCATAAGTACATTTAAAGTTTAAGCAACTTTGACAACAAAATCATTTGTTAAATATTTTGCCTGTTGTTTTGAAGTAACTGAGAGACTGCAACAGGAACTAACAGAAACTACATGATCACAGAAATCCCAATAAGCAGTCATATGATAAGCCATGTTTGAAAAAACCACAATATATTCAAAGAAAGCAAAGTAAGTGTAGACCGTAGCCTCACAATACCAATTATGGCGGAAATAGAAGTATACAGCGAGTAGAAATGCAGTAACATTTGTCAAGCCAAATATAGTTTTATACTTCAGAGAAGTTCTTTCCAAAAGAGTAAGTCTATGCTTCACACCACGTTTCATTGCAAAATACAATAGCAGCATATTAGAAAGTGCGGATATCATGAAAGTGATAAAGCAAAGTTCATGAATGTGAAAGTTTTCAGATGAAGACACAAAGGTTAAACCGAGCAAACTCGACACTTCCGTGAATTGGAGAAGAAAAATAATTGAAGCTAACCATTGCCAAATAGCACTTTTATAAAGAATATCACAAAGATGGCTGTAATACATAGCAACTACTAAATATCTAGGTGCAGAGTGGATGGCTACGCAAATTTGCCATACGTGTCTTTGAGGTGTGAAACTACCGATAGATGCACTTATGGAAGGTAAGTAATTTGGAACATGGCAGTGAGTAAAAGTCGCTCTTTCAAAATTATAGAGAATAGACCATAAAACACAAAAAACAAATGACACCAATGGTAAAGACACAGTGTAGAGAGCTAAGGTTGGAAATTTTAGTTGCATTCGGGAAACCATGGTGAAATTGAGCTGACTTCTTCTCCAAAAAGGATACATTTATGCGCCAAATATAAATTTTACAATTCCTTTTAGCACAAAATCAAATCATCTTTAAAACACATCGATCAGATTATACATCTTACTAAATTAATAAGCGAATATTCACGGTACAAATTAAAATTTCATATCTCCTTCTCAGTTGCACAACTACTTTTTAATAGCAAATGATTGTACATTTATAAAACATAAAACTAAACAGCAGCATTAAATCCAAAAACTAATATTAAGTCAAGTAAACGAAAGAGTGTATTTTTTTTTAATTTGACAATATGAAAACAAATAATCGATTATTTGTTTCACATCTAGAAAAGAACTGGAAAACCTCTTCAAACGGAACTTCTTCAACGGACAATATCAAGAAATACTTTTACGAACAAAAATATTTAAAAAGTGTAAACAGTTGAAAAGTATGCGAACATGCATCAATTTATTTTGCATAAAAATTTCGCTTTTAAATTTCAATTTATTTTCTTCTTCAAAATTTAATTTTCATCCTGTAATTAATTTAATCTGTCTAACAGCTGTTGAAGTCTCTTTTTAAGTTAGCGTACATAATTTACATTAATTCTTAAAGCTTAGGCTAAAGCGCAACTACATAATTTTGAACTGTTAAACTTGTAAGAAAAAGTAATTCATATCGTCCTGCATGTTTTGGTTTTGGAGGCAAAACCATAGAAGCAAAACAAGATGTCACATATCGGCGATAGTAGTTACGAAGATTCACCGAAAAGAATCAAATATGACAGACAGCTAAGATTGTGGGATGATCATGGGCAGTATGCTTTAGAAGCGGCTCATGTTTGTTTAGTAAATGCCACTGCTACTGGAACAGAAATTTTAAAAAGCTTAGTCTTACCTGGAGTAGGTGCTTTCACTATTGTTGATGGTCATACTATTGAAGGTAAAGATGTTGGAAATAATTTCTTCCTTAATAAAGATAGTATTGGCAAATCTCGAGCTAAAGTCGCCACAGAGCATTTACTTGAGCTTAATCCAGACGTTCGGGGTGAATTCGTTGAAGAATCCGTGGAAAGTGTTCTTCAAGCTGATCCTGATTTTTTCACGAAGTTTACTGTTGTTATTGCTACTGATTTGAAAGAATGCACTCTATTAGGCTTAGCTGATAAATTATGGAATCTAGGCACTCCATTACTGCTCTGTCGTGTTTTCGGAATGGTGGGATACATGAGATTACAGTTTACAGATAGAGCCATTATAGAATCCAGACCCGAAAATGAGTTTCATGATTTGAGGTTAGATCAGCCTTTTACTGAGCTAAAGGAGTTTGCTGAGTCTATTCTTATGGAAACGCTGTCTGATATGGAATATGCTCATGTGCCTTTTGTGGTTATACTTCTTAAATATGTTGATTGGTGGAAAAGTCAAAATAATGGTCAATTGCCTAAAAACATGAAGGAAAAAAACCTTCTAAAAGCTGAAATTATGAAAGCCATGAGAAAAAAAGACGATGAAAATTTTGAAGAAGCTTGTCGTGGCGTCAACAGGTTGGTGGCTAAAACGACCATCCCTGGGGAAATACAAGATATATTAAAAGATCCATTATGTGATAACATAACGAGTGAAAGCAAGCCATTTTGGATTATGGCCAGAGCATTGAAGGAGTTTGTTAATAATGAAGGTCAAGGTTGTTTACCTGTACGAGGGGTTATTCCAGATATGACGTCGGACACTCAAAGTTACGTAAATCTACAAAATATATACAAAAGAAAAGCCGAAGAAGATGCTCATTTCATATACAAAAGGGTTCAAGATATCCTGAGCAGTATTGGAAAATCTCAAAATTATATTCGTGAGCAAGATATCAAAGTGTTTTGTAAAAATGCTCACTGCTTAAGAGTTCTGCATGGACGTGCAATCAAAGATGAGTACAATCCTTCTACAACTAAAGTTCAACCTTTGATTTCTAATTTAGAGCATGAAGATAGCGATATTATATTTTATGTTCTTCTAAGGGCATCTGATAGATTTCGTGAGGAGTTTGGCAGGTATCCCGGCCAAACGGATGACGTGGAATCGGACATTTTAAATTTGAAAAATTCTGTTGCCTCTCTTTTACAGGAATTGCAGTGTCCGGCAGTTATGAAAGATGATTATGTGCACGAGATGTGTCGTTTTGGTGATTCGGAGCTTCACTCTGTGGCTGCTTTTGTTGGTGGCTGTGCTGCACATGAAATTATTAAATTAATTACTGGACAATATGTACCCTTTAATAATACATTAATTTATAACGCTTTGAGTCAAAGTACCTCTGTTTTTTACTTATAAATGAGCATATGTATGATAAAAATTATATTCTTAATTTACTACTTCTTTAGCTATATTTAAAATGCTTAATAATTTGATTCAAATTTTTTTTCATAACTAATTGAAGTTAAAAAATGTCATTAAAATTAATCTTGCATTTTGTGTGTCTTTATTATTTACATAATTTTAGTAGTACTTTTTATTTTTACTGATCAATACATTCTATTATGGTCAAAATTTTAACTTAACATTTGATATTCCTTGTGATTATAAATTGACTTTATCCTTCTAGCAACCACACCTTAAGGGGTTTAATGCCCCTGAGTGAAACAAAACTTATTAGCTAAATCTTCAAAGGATTTTTTCTAAAAAACAATGTGCAAGAATTCCAGAAAAGAAAGTTGTACAAATTACTGATATAAAATTTATAATATTCATATTAAGAATATATAAATGTGAAAATTATGTTAAAATAGTCTAAAAACGTTTCAATGTAACAGACTCTTAATTTAATTTGAAACAAACTCTCTGATTAATTTTATTTTTGACTGTTTTGAGCAGTAGCCAAGTTAGTCATCATTGTTTTTGTAAACATATTAAATTTAATTTTAAAACTATTATAATTAACTATTATATTATAAAAACTATTACATAAAACTATTATAAGATGTTAGTAAACTAAGAATGAGGATAAGTAATAATTGAACAATATTTTAAGAAAGGAAGTAGAGGTAATACATTGAATGTTTTAAGGAGAAATAATGTTTGAAATTTGAACCTAAAAGTTTTTCTATCAGGCACTCTCAGTTATTCCAAATACCACATCTGAATTCCATACCACGAGTAGAACAATAAAATTAGTACAATTTTTTTTTTTTAACTGAATGGAATTCGATGAAAAAAGACTTTTCCTTACTATTTTGTAAATTCCAAACATATTTCAAGGCGACAAATTTGTTGCTTAGGCATATGATTTTACAACACTTGGCATGAACTTTATATATTATAAAATGTTTTTCAAATATATAAATATCAACCAAGCACTTCACAAATTCTAAGTAAAAAACTTATGGAAAGGGGAAAAAAGTTTTTGAGAAAATACTTATGCCTGTAAGTATCTATATATATTTTTAAAAATTTCAGATTAATTTTAATATGGTCTTACAGGGTAAACTAAAATTTAATAAATTTTTACTAATACAAAAATATAAATTAATTTCACAGTGATTATTTGCACACATGTGATTATTGGAACAAAGAATTATATCTGAAAATTTTGGTGAATTTATGGTTTTATAGTTTCACTTTCAAATGAAATTTTTTCTCAATGTGTACTTTTTTTAATACTAAATTTTTTTATACATCAAAGTTCATTTCTTTTCAATTGCATGAAAAAAGAATATTTTTTCGTGTTATGCAGAAATCAGAAACATTAACTGCCATAAAACGATGAAATGGTCCTGTTAAAGAGTGAGCACTCAAATGCGTGATTTGAATTTCTAATCTTATAATTTCTCATATTAAAAATATCAGGATTTTAAAAAAGTGTGCGAAAATCAATAGTTACTAAAAAATGAATTGTTAGAATTTATTCTTTTTGTAGAAATTTAAGCATAAATATAACTTTAAAATTCGAAATTAATATTTATTCATTTTGAATTTAGCTAATAAATATATTTTATTCTAAAAGTGCAAAAAGTGTTGAAAATCAACCGACGCAATCCTAACTAAATGTCTGGCATGCTCATCGAAAAAAGTGATATTGGACTGTTTATGATTTAAATGTGTTAATCAACAAAATAACTCTAAATGTTAGTGATTTATAATCTATTTTCAACAAGTATTTTGCAATTATATCCATGCAACTTAATTTCTTAAATTTTAAGTTATTATAGTAATAATTTCTCCAATATTTAAAAAGAGCCATTTATTTTTAAGTTTTAAATTATTCAGCTTATCATACAAAAAAAAAAATATTGATTATATTTAAATGTAACATTTCTCTTATTTATAAAACATAAATATCTTTTTTTGTTATTAACATTTCTGCAAATTAATTATACCACATATATCTATTTACATAATTTTTTTTTAACATACCTTTAACACTGAAAATAAACTTTTTTTTAGATAGAGGTTTTCGAGATAAAGAGGTTCAACTGTAATTATAATTTCTCTAACATTTAAAAAGGGCCATTAATATCAAAGTTTTCAATTATCAAATTATTCAGCTTATCATAATAAAGTAAATTATTGATTTTATCACTTAAATGTAACATATATATTTTTCTATTATTTATAGAACACAAATATCTTTTTCTGTTATGAACATTTTAAAAATAATAATTTAATATTTCAGTTTGTAAGACTGAATACAAATGATGCATAAATTTTAGAATATATCCTTTAATTATTTTTGAAATTGAAAATTTAAATAAATTCAATTTATACCTATTACATGTTACGATGATTTGCAATATTCTAAAGAATAAAATTATAAATTCTGAGAATGTTTTTCAGGATTATATAATGTTACACTATGTAAATGATCGCTGAAACAGTTTAAAATATCAGGGCTCGAAAAAACTCAGAAATTTTACCCGTCCCCGAGGACGGCTTGTCCAACAATGTACCCGTCCTCCTTTGAAACTAACCCGTCGCTTCTAAATAAATAAAAATATAATTTTCTCTTATTTATTACAAACATTTATATAAATTGCACAATGAATTAGTAGTTACTAGGATTACATTATACAGTAATAAAAGAAATACTAGGTTACTAATAGTAAAACCTAGTATTTCTATTATGAAATAATTTATTTCTTTGATGAAATAATTTAAATAACAAAGTTTAAGTTATCTGTCAATTTATCCGATGGTACTGCGTTTTTTAAATGAATCAAATATGACGTTTGCCAGTTCCACAATCAAGCCTATGATTTACAGCGGTTTCTGCACAGAAATCTGAAAGAGGTTTTCCATTTAGGTAGATGTACATAAATGCGTTTAACGCTTCTTGTTTAAGACCAGTAAGTAATGTGTTTTTTTGTAGGTTCATTGCTGAAAAGTACCTTTCAACCGCTGCAGTACTCCCAGACAGAGAAAACATCAATTCCACCATGCGCAGTATTTCGAGATTAGAGGGTCATTTTAGAAGTGTGGCGCTAGACTCTTGTAAGATAACAAAGATTGAAAATGTATCACGAACATTTACGGGAAAATGGCCATCCGCGCGGACGCTGGATTCGAAAAATTTGTTGTTCACGGGGAATTTTTGACCGCCGAGGACGGGCGTTTTTTCGAGCCCAGTAAAATATGATTTTTTTTTAATGATTCCTAAAACAATATTTTCTATCAAAGTTTATTTTAACGAAATTTTTGAGGGAGTGTATTCTTAATTGTTGATTTTCACTTCAGTTATTTTTTAACACAAAAATTAAATAAACCAGAAATGATGCTTTTTTCAATACAATTCTTTTTCTCTCCCGAAAAATCTCTAATTTCATATCGCCAAAAAAAAACATTGGCTATAGCACGTGAATATTTCTGGCAATGAAAGAAGGGATTGTCTTGAGATTAGTTAAATTCTGTAAATTAAGAGAAAAGTAACATATTTGTGAGATTAAAAACTTAAGTTTTTGTGTTACTTATATATTATTAAAAAAAACATAATTTAACATTTATTTCAAAAGCCAAAATATTCTTAAATATAAAATCAAAGACATCTTATTGTAAAACTTTCTATGCTATGCTTTAAATCAAATTTAAAACACATTCTAACCTATTATTTTTTTTATAAGACATTTCAGTTGAGAATATATTACTTGGAATAATGAAACATCAAAGTTTTTAAATGGTTTCATTTTTATTAATTTTTTTACACATTAGAGAGAAAGATAAACATTTTATAACTACATAATAAATATAAAGAAAAATCTACACTACATATTTTACAATCTAATTCATATCTAAATAGCTCAGCCATTTTGTAACATTTTCTCTTAATTAAGTTCAATATTTATGATCAGTTTACACTATGTTTTTTTAAATAAACGTTTCTATAAATATTCAAACAATCATTATGAAATTAGGTTCCTTGTTTCAATACAGAAATTTTTTTTAAAAAAGAAATATTTCATGATATAAAATAAAATTCCTGTGTATAACTCACGTGTACAATTTTTAATAATCCAAATGTTTTGAAATTGATGTGTATTCTTGAAAGAAAAGAAAAAAAAATGAGAAGACAGGCTTTTAGTTGTCTAAATAATCAAGTAAATACCATAAAATATGATAAATGTTATAAAAGCTGATAATAAATATTTAACCTGTGTTTTACTTTTCAACAGTAAACTAAACTAAAAATACAAATAGCTTAACTATTTAAAGAGTAATCAGGAAAAGAAACACAAAGTCGTCAAACATAGAAACATCACAGGAAGAGCATTTTAAGTGAATCTATTAAAAAACAAATTTATAACGCATATAAAATGTTACAGAGCTGATCATTGCATATTTGCTATCATTAAAAAAATAATAATTTATCTCATGCTTACAATGAATCATATAAGCATCCTGGAAAAATTCTAGTTGAAATTTTTTTCTTGACTTTTTATGCTGAAAACTCTAGCTTACTTTTTTCACGATATTTACTTAAATCTACAAATCAATAAAATATTAAACATGGTAGTATCAACAACAAAGCTGGTTGACATGCTTAAATAAAATATGAAATTTTCTTTTTTTTAGACTTTCAATAAAATGAAAAATTTTAAATCTTAATGAAAATATATATTAAAAGAAATGAAATTGGGTTTAACATACCTATCATTAAATAAATTAAGAAAATTACTTAATTAAAATTGTAAACTAATGTATTTCAATAAAAATTGTCTGTTAATTACTAATAGAGAAATACTTTTTTTTCTATTAAATATGTACAGATTAAAGAAACAATTTTCACTAAACGTGTTTCTTTTATTCCATAACAAATCACACAGAATTTCTTAGGTTACAGATGGCAGAAATGCATAAAAGAGTGAAAATACATTTTTCACATACATTGAAAAATTTAAGTTTTAAAAGCTATGGAAAAATTCTATTTTTTCCCCTCAAGAACTCAAAATTTCTTTACTAAAAAATTAAACATTTTCCTCATTTTTAAAAATGTCCTTAATTTTTTTCAGTTTGCTAAATATCCTTCTGTAACATTTTCTCAAAACTAAGTTCAAAACAGGGATGACATTTTATTAGGAAGAAACTGGATGAAATGGAAGGAAAAAAATGACCAACAAAATTGTTTAGCAATATGTATTATAAGAATACCTTATAACCAAACAAATTAAATTAAATTTATAATAGTATAGGCAGTTAAAAGTTTTTTGAATAAATTCTTTTAAATAATATATTTTTTTTTATAATTTAAGTCTATCTGAGTATTCATACTGCACAGTAATGATAAAAATTAGTATCCTATTTGTAATTATACATTCAATATGTGATTTGTAGTAGTGTATATGTTTATGTGATAATTTAATTTAGTAGTATTAATGGAATTTTATTATGACATTTAACTCTTTCCTCATGTAATTATAAAATAAGGTTTTATTATACTCATTAATGTAAATTATTGAAGGATTACAGTTATTTTGATTTCCTAAGAAATTCATTGAATGTATTTTTATTTACAATTGTTGCTTTCTAATTTTTACATACTTCAAAATAACGTAGTAATTTACACTATTATTTCAACAAGATAGCAATCATAATTATGAAAAAAAAAATTGTTTTAATATTCAATATTTTTTTGAAAAAGTTTCTTCTTTTGTTGGAAGAATTCTTTTTCTTCCTGGGCGGATTTTTTTCATTGCGGAGGAAATTTGCTATCACTCTTTTAAAACGTCACTTAACATGCTCTTCACACTCAACTATTCTTATAATACACAAATATATATATATATAAAACCCTCTAAGCAAATACCTAAGCAAACAAGTTGGATTTTAACAAAGACATTTATAAGCTCATTCATTACTGAGATCCATAATATACCTAACCATCACCAAATGGAGAGATTTTATAAAAATGTTGGCAACAGCTACAGGCATAAATACAAAGGTTGTTGTATCCTAATGTGTAAATTAATAGAAAACTTAGCTTCCATATATTCCACAATTCGCAAAACTACTACAACTACATGATTATTTTGTATTTTCTTTATTCCTCCCCCCTCCTGAAAAAAAGTCTTTATGGGAATTATTTCATCCAAGGTAAAAATTTAAAGCCCTGTGTTCTTTTTATTAATAATTCAGAGTTCTTATTCAAAGAGGAGTAGAACAGGGCGATGTGTTCATGACGTAGAACAAAGTGTATGTAAAATATTGAACAATTTTAAACACAACAATGAAATTTTATAAAATATACTCCGGATATATATTTTACAATAAATATTGAATACTTATTACAAGTATTATTAAATTCAATATTATTTAGAGTGTGTTTAAATTTCATTTTGTCAAGGAAAATATTGACAAATGTAAACTGGTAAAATATAATGCAATATTGTGAAATATTTCTGGGCATATATTGAGATACGAAAAATTTTGATATTGCCCAGCACTAATGTAAATGAGAAAAAAAAAAAAAAAATTCTAAAAGGACTCCAAAAGTAAGAATGAAAAATCTTTCAAGGTTAAAAATTAAAATTTTCTTGACTCTGACTATGTAAAAGTTAGGTTCTTAGGGTTAAAAAAGATTTTATGAAAATTAAGTTAATTGTAACCAGGACGTTGATAATAAATGAATTTTTTTTTAAAATTTATAAATTATAGATTTTTCTTCTAATTATTATTTTTTTTTGAATAATATTTAATACCATTAATTATTTTCTTTATAAATTGGTGAAAATTTTACATTAAATCTTGTTATTTTAAATAATAATAAAAAAAATTTTTTGGAAATTTTTAAAGGCAGTATTTACCCTTTTAACGTTATTTTTTATCGTTTTCAGAGGAATTTTTTAAATGTATTTTTGAGAACCTTTAGCTCATTATTATTGGTTATAACCTATCATGATAACAATTCTGTTATAAAGTAGAATTTTGTATAATTACCATTAATTCTGCAAGAAAAAAAAAACGTGCATAGAAATGATCAATACTTGACTTAGATTTATAAAAAAGTTCAATTGAATACAAATAGGAACTTGGCCTTCCTAAAAAACATAAAGTTGAACATTTTAACTACAGATTCCATCGCTTAATTATATAAATATCTTAAGGACTTTTACTATCGTTTAATAAAGCAAGTTATATTTGTGTAACAATGAGTAAAGCGGTCATAAAGTGAAAATTTTGAAAAACTTGGAAGTTTAATTTACTATAGTTTTTACATAAGATATAAATGATTTTTTCCTATATTTAAATCAAAAACATAACAACCGCAAAAAAAAAAACAAAAAAAAATTGATGTCATAGAAGGTGAAAAATAGTTTCAACATGTTTTATTAAGGACATGTATAATATATTTCTCTAGGTATCTAATACATAAATAAATTCAAAACTTTTAAATAGAAAAACAAAAACTACGCCTATACATAAGAATAAATAAATAATTTGCATCATTTTTCAACCCTTTAAATTTATGACAAGAGGGATTCAAACTTTTTTGTCACACACAGTATCATTTTCAAGCTTCAATAATGATGACTCTAATTTATTGCTAGCAGTGTTTTGAAGTTTTATAAAGGGTTGATACAGAAAAATAGCATCAGAGCTAATGTAAGGTGGCGTCATTAGTGGAGAAGGTGAAAGAATTTTAGCACATCCATTCGGTTTCTTAATCGGGCTTAAAATGGTTTTTTCATCAATCAAGAAAGAATGTGGACGAGATGCTGTGGCAGTTGCACCCAAAGGAACTTCTTTCAATATGTTGGTAACTTCAGCATTCAGACTTTCGCTGCTGCAGCTATCTGAATTGTGACGAGATAGTGGCATACCCTTTATTGGCACACAATTTCTGAAAGATTGAAGCATACCTTCGTGCTTCTTTATGTTCTCTCCAATTACAGGCACATCATTGCGATTTTCAATTTTCTTCAATATTGAATCAACTTCACTGTTTGAGGGAAACGAAGTTATATCCGACATTGAAGATGGTATTGGAGTAGTATAGCCACTAGGTATGCTAAGGGGAGAGTAAATTCCTTTAGTTTGAGAGACCGGGCTACTGTTCCTGGAACTATTGGCGGTTGATGATTTATCACTTTCATTGTTATGAGCACTGACATCTTTAAAAAGATCTTGTTGTTTAAGTTCTACAGAACTTATTTTATTACCATTATCGATAATTTTTAGTACATTACATTGATTATTTGGAGTTGTATTAAAAGATTGAGTAGAACCAGCAAGTTGAATAGCAGCTACTTGACCTGGTGTAAGAGAGATGTTTAGAGATTTCAAAATATTATCACGTTGAGCAGGAGATAATTCAATTGTTTGAGAAGTCTAAAAAAGAAATACCGTATTGTTAATTAAATTTATGATACAATATAATAACTATAAAACACTTATATGTACGCAAGAACTTTGGAGATTTAAGATACTCAAATACATTAAACATTAAAGTGAGAATTATCAAACTCTTAGGATTCATATAAAGATTATCACAGTTTTCAGAACAGTAGTTTTTAACAGGGTCATAACTAAATATAATTTACTCCTGCGATACTTGGTTATTGATAATTATAATATAACAAAGTATGATGAATGATATTATAAATTAGAGCATGAATTTTAAAGTGCTATTTTTTTTTTATAGGTGCCCCTATTTATTTATAGATGCCCTTATTTTTTATAGGTGCCCTTAAAAGTGTATTATTAAAGTAAAAATATTTAACTGAAACAAAGCTTTCTTGTTTAAAATTACTTTCAGTCTCGTTAAAATATATGAAAACAATACAATGCAAGTTCCATGCATCTTTTAAAGTGTTATTAGTTAATAGTCTGACTACTGAACATAATAAAAAATGGAAAAAGAATACCTTAAAAGTTAAAAAAAGGAAAAAAGCACAAAAATGCAAATGTCATCAAACTTTGGGCCTTAATGAGAGTCTTGAACATACTGGATGCATATCTTGTGTACTATATCTTAGAAAAAAGTATTTTAAGGTATTTATTTATTATTTTTTTAAATGGCACTTAGTTCTGTACTAAAATATAACATCATCTTTAAGATACATCTCCTTATGGCATACCCATCAATATTATGCATCTGTTAATAATTAGTTATATACGCCTGGTAGCAGAATTTACAAAGTCAGCTACAGAAAGACTGATATTGTAGAATGCAATGCAACAACTTAATGTAACACGCGTACAATAAAATTATCAATAATAATAAAATTACCTTGCAACATGAGAATTACTTTTTATATTATCGATTTTATACTTAACTCACAGTTTTGCCATGTTCACCATAATGGAAATCCTCTATTTTATTCTTTTGTTTCCAAAGTTTATCTGAAGCTTCGTTTTGCTTTTAGAAATCTTAAACAAAAATTGCTTTGCGCTCGAACGAGAACTCAGGGAAAAAAAAAAAAAAGACATTGGTAAAGGAGGAATAAATGTCTCGTTAGGAGGATTTCACAAAACAAAAAAAAGTGAGATTAGCAGAATTGAAAACAAATTTTTGCCGTAATGTACATTTTTAATTCACAATTTAGGTCTTAAAATTTGAGGAATTAAGCACATTATTGGAAAAATTACACACCTAACAAAAAATATTGTTTAATTTTACAAAAGAATTATCATTATATTTCTGTCATTGCAAATGATAAAATAACTAGCTTCTGACAAATAATTTTTTTCTTGATTATATTAGCCACCATAAAAATATCGAAAGATTTTTCAGAGGGTGGAAATAGAAGCCTGAAATTGAGAACATTTTGCAAAATGCAGCAGAGTTGCATCATATGAGAGTGCAAGAATCTCACCGAATCCAGCTAAGTAGATCCACAAGCAGACTCCCAAGTATTTCATAAAGTATGTAACACGATTGGCGCGCAATTATTTCCGAGAAGGGAAAATTAAGCACTTTTTAAAAACACCCCATGGAAAAAAGCACCTTTAAGGGCTTTTAAAAAATGACACCTTTCAGCACTTTTTAAAAATGCTACGCACCATGTAGAAAAAATTTAATACTAAAATTTCTTAAAAAGTTTATCATTTCATTTTCTAACAAGCAATAGCACACATTAAGAAAAAAATTTTGGCAACAAAAAAGTTGCCTTTCTTTTCCATGAGATGACCAAAAGATTGAAACAAGATTCTGATTATGAATGATGAGTAATTAGTGGACAGTCCATAAATTGAAACTCTAGAGTGTTAGCAATTTTTAAGAATTGTTAAGTTTTATCACTATTAAATAAAATAAAAATGATTATATAAGCATTCCAAAAAGACAAAGTTTTGAAGTATCAAAACTATGCAATCAGAAATTAGTGGACCCAAGAATTTAATGACTATTTTTACAACTTATTAAAATAAAATAATAATAATCATTAAAATAATTGACTGCTATTTGAAAATAGAATCCAATAAGACTTTATTATAGTTTGTCTAAAGTAAGAAGTGCAAGAACTCCACTAGCCATTCGCCTGGACCCGTGGTGGTGAACGGTAACGAGGTATAACTATTTCAAGTAGAGGTATGGTGTCATCGTTTAGGAAAAGTTTTGGATCGGACCAGCAAAAGAAAGGGGATCTTTTTCTTCGTTTTACTGTGTACTTTGCTTCGTTTTACTAGCACTACAGTGTAGAGAAACTAGCCTCCCTGAAATGCGCTGCTCTTGTTTCCATTACAGCAGACGGCCTCAGACTGTGTGGATAGCGTAGTTCTTACCGTAGACAAACTATGCTTCATTATACTAAATTAAAAACATTGAGGGAAAAAAAAGGGTTTTGTCACTCATCATACATACATAGATCTGATGATTGGAATTCATATTGTAATCATGTACAATTTTCAGACAGATTTTATTGAACTTCTTTGATTTTTGTGACGGTATCTTAAATTTAATTATTAATATGCCAGTTATGTTTTATTCTTAGTCATAAAATATATTATAAGATACTTATAATTGCTACTAGAGTTGAAAAAAAATTTTTTTAGAGAAATTATCAAAAGACTATCCCCATCTTTTTTATTTTGCAAAAAACATCAGACTTTTAGGTGCCCTAAGTTTCCCGTTTTTCCCAAATTCATGAAATCATTTAACTTTTCCCTGTTCTATAGTCAATTAGCGTCAATATTTTTAAGACTCATAACTAGAGTATTGTAAAATTTTTTAAATAACATCAATTAGTTGATTGAAAAAAAATAGGAAAAAAAAAAACAACTATATATTACCTTGGCAGAGTTTTTCTTATTTTCCTCATCTCTTGATTGTTTAATTGGAAGAGAGCAATGATTTATGACAAATATAGTTCCTGAAAAAAAAAAGAACAAATTAATTTTCAAAAATAAGTTTGGCATTGCCATTCAAATGGAAACAGGCATTATTCGTGAATTTTGATGGATTTTTTTTTCTGACAGTAATTTATACCAACATAATTCTGCACTTATCTTTCTAAAAAACAGATTATTTAACATGGAAATTAGGAACTATTATGGAACTTTTTAGATATCTGAAAAATATTTGTTTTTGCATAATTTATATTAAGTTTTTCTCTTATTAAAGTTTAAATAATAATAACAGCAAATTTCTACTCAAACATTGTAATTAACATTGAAACATTGTAATAAATATTGAAACTTTGTTTTACTTCTGAAAAATTGAGAAAAAATATGAATAAGTTCTAGTGCTGTTTTATTCACTCTAATAAAACAACTTATTATTTGCAACTTGAACTGAAATGTATCATAAGTGATACATAAGAGTTAAAAATTTGTTGAAAGCAAAAAAACATTGAAAAAGGTAGAATCAAATCGAACCCTACCTAAAAATGAAGGAACTAGGTTTCTTTCAGTCCTGTTATAAATATGTTGTTACTTAATGTAGGAATTCAAAAAAATGGTGTGTAGCTTAGAAGAACAAATTTAGAGCTTTATCACTCATATAATAAACCTGACATTATTAAATTAATTAAATGACGAAGAATAAAACAGGCAGGCCACGTTATCAGAATGGATGAAAAAACGCCAGCCGGTAAAAGGTTAGCCTGGACTAAACTTCTTGAGAAGGCCAAGGTTTACCCTGGACTGTCGAGCCATTGATAATGATGAATGTAGGAAAAAATAAAGATTTCAAATTAATCCAAAAAATTCTGTATCAAATAACTCAAAGAAGTTAAACTATAGATTAATTAAATTTATAATAGTAATGAAACAGGTTTAGGTTTGAGTGACAAAAATGTAAGTTTAGATCATTTACTGCTTTTTTAGTTTACAAAATACAGATAGCCAATGAGCTTTTTACTCTGGACATAGCTCAAAATCTGTGTGCTAAGAAAATACTTTAAGATAAATGTTAAGAATGAGTTGTGTCCATTTTCTAAAATACGGATTTCGATCAGTGTCTATTTTCTTAAACACGCATTAATGAAAATATCACTGATAAAATATATTTCAGAAATATTTTCAGATAAGTAGGATATTACTATAATCTGCAAAAATTGAAATCTGACTTGAGTGTAAGGGCTAACCAAAAAGTATGAGTTCATTTTTTTATTTTATAAAAACCCTAACATTGGTAAAGAAAGAAAATATCAATATATATCTAAAAGAATTCCAACCTGGTTGAGGAATGGTTGTATTGTGATTCAAAACAAAATATGACCCACTTTTGGCCAATGTAGGAATCTGTGCCTTCACAGTTCTTGCAATTGGTATTTTTGCAGGTTTTGGAACAGATTTTTTAGCATTGCTGAAGACATAATTGGCTCTTAAACCATTGGAAGTACTATCATTTTTACTATTGATATTGAAATTCACACAGTGAGGTCCTTTTCCTAAGCTATTTTCAAAAGGAGGTGCAGAATTTGGAGTTTCCTCTAGGCAAAGTTTCTGATGTTCAAGTTCTGCAACCTCACAAATTTCTTGAAATGAAGAATGACGAATCAAACTCTTTGGTTTGATTTTTCTAAAGGAATTCATCAGTACAGTTTCTTTACCTAAAAATTAAATACAAGATTACAAAAATGTTTTTTTTTAAAGAAAAAAAAGCTAACAAAATTATTTAACATACAGTTTACTAAAGTACAATGCAGGCAAAAAATTTAAAAAATAAATAAAAAAGCACATTCATGCTTTTAAAAATATTAAAGAAGCTTGAATTAAAGTTTTGTACAGAACATTATGACATAAAAAATGAGATTATAGCACGTTATAATAAAGAATAATAATTACTCAAAAAATAATCTAAAGTGACATTTATTCATTCTAACTTCAGGTGATAGTATAAAAGTAAACTTTTTTATTTTAGTACTAACAGATTTTTTTTGTGTCCTAACAAGCTGGATAAAAAAAATAAGAACTTCCGTATAAATTATTCAGAATATTTTTGTTATTGTATGTAATTTAATAAATGCCTTTGCCACAGCAATTTTAAAATAAAAATGTAAACTTTTGGTCACAAATAAGAGTGGAAAACAAATGTCAAATGAAAATTTATTTCAAAATGCAGTGCCGAAAAAAAGAAAAAAAAAGCTTTCTAGGTTTGACTGGAAAAAAAAGTCTTCACATAAATGTAAAATTTTTTTTTCATTTCAAATACTAAAAATGAGGAAAGGAATAAGATAGGATTTTGAATATTGAAAATTATCTTAAATATAAATGATAAACTTAATTGATTTTTCTTGATATTGTAGCAGTAGCTACAAAAGAAAAAAAAAATTAAAATCATATTAATTTACAAATGAAGATAATTAAATAAATTTTCATTAATTCATTCTATAATAATAATAAAAAAATAAACAGATACATGAGGTGTACAGTAAAAATATTGACCATAAAAAGCCAAAACACAAAACCAAACTAGTAAGTAAGACATATAAATACAACACAATATTGAGTTTATTTAATAGCACACAAGATGATGTATTTCCCTAAAGGCAAACATTTATATAACCAATTAAGTAATCAAATAGTGTTGCCAGCTAAGTCGTGTTGCCAGATGCAAAAGGGAAGGAAAGATCAGCTGAGTGGTTCAAGGTCAATTGACTGATGAATACTTAAAAACGGCAAAATCCGATAAAGGATTTCAATACAATATTTAAGAAAATAGTTTGAAGAACTTTGATTTTACTAAAATTTTTGCCATCAAATAAAAGTTAGATTTTCTTAAAAAACATAGTTATGCTTAAATCCTTAACTTGATTTAATGATAAATTTATCTTTTAGATCAAGGGTTTCCAACTTACATGAGGCTGAGGGCCACAATTAAAAACACCAGTCAAAAGGCGGGCCATAACTTCATCAAAATTTTATATAGGACTCTTTGAAGTTTGAAGGAACATTAAATATTACTGTCAGACTTTTATCAAGTTGTACAAAATAAAAGTATTGAACTACAAATTAAAATAAGAAGTAGATTTAAAAAAATATTTAATCGCATATTAAAAAAATCTGGCTATAATAACTTTAATGTGCACCTAAGTATTAAACAATTAATGTGCAACAGACATCAAATTGTCAAGACATAAAACTTAAAAGCATTTTAAACCCATATATATTTTTTGCAAAAATTGCCCACAAAAAATGACAACTAATATATTTAGTTCGCGAGCCACAAAAAAGGCTTCGCAGCCCGCCAGTTGGTAACCACTGTTTTAGAAATTTTCCCTAAATTTATCTGATAGATTCAGCTTGATTAGAAAAAATTCAACAGAAATGATTTAAATTGTTTTCACCAAAAACATGTTATAAAAGGCTAAAGTGAATCTTTAAAAATTTAGTTCACTTATAACAAATACATCAAAATAAGTAACTTAAAACTTGCAGGTCACATCTGCCAAATGGAACTAGAGTTAGGCCTCAGATCAGATGGCTTGACTGTGTGGAAGAGGATTTTAAAATCATAAGAATTACTAACTGGAGAACAATAGCAAAGAAAAGAGCAGAATGGAGGAAAGCTCTGTCCCATAAAGAAATAATTATTGATAATAAAAATATTGCAATACAACAATTACCCAATACCCTTATAAAATATTGCAATACAACAATTTATAACCCTAAATGCTTCTTATCTTACTGAATTTTCATTGTGTAAAACATATCATCAATATTATATATTGCACAAAAATATAATATTGAAAAAGATTATAAAAAACCCCCCTCTGAAAATCAATTCTTCTGCATGACTGAAAGCATTACAATATCAAAACATCCTAAAACCATCCCTTAATAAAATCCTTATCTCTGTCTTGTAAAATCAAATTTTTGGGAAGTATGTGGAAAAAAAAAGATACTGTAATATATTTTTATGCATTAATATTTTCCCTATATTTAAACAAAGAGCATAAGCCCTAAGAGTTAAAACTATATTCCTACGAAACTTCCTGAGTGTCTATTGAAAAGAATGAAAGTATAAGGATTCTGACAACAGTTTTAAATTACTTATTGTAAAAACAGATCAATAAAAAAGCACTAGTTTGTAGCAATAAAAATCGAAAGAAATCAACTCACTACTGTAACTGTCTGCATCTGGCCCAACATATTTAAAAGCGGGCTTCTTTCCATTCGCACTTTTAATAACTTGTTTTTTAATAAGATTAATGCTTGACAGCACATTAGCAATATCATACAAACGTCTAATTTGAGCTGAAAGAGAAAATGAATACATTTTAGTATTGAATTGAAAAGGAAATACAATTCATTTAATGTCAGTTACACCATAAAACAACCTAAATTAAAAAATAATTTCTCCTAAATTATCATATGAATGTCAACAGAGTAAGATTCAAAAGCTTTCCTACACTGCTTTTTCAGTGGAGAAGCACTGATTTAAAGACAAGCTTGTCTAAGTGGAACAGCAGTAAAAAAGTTAAACATAATAAATAAGCTACACAAAAAATTATTTTATATATATATAAAAAAAAACTGATTCTTTTTCACGTTAAAAAAGATACATAAAAGCATCATTAATAATTTGGAATTAATAATAAGTGATAGTCATCCTTACTTTTAATCTGAGCACCTTTTTCAATTGTTTGAAATCCATTCAAAACTTTAGCAGCTTCACCGAGACTAACAACTTTTGTCTATAGGGATGAAAATATATAAACTGTTATAAGCTGTAATCATATAAAAAAACAACACAAACATGGAAAAAGTTAAATATTCAAACTATTGCAAACTGTAATAATAAAAAAATCAACGCAAACTGTTATAAGAAACAGAAAATCACAATCATGATCCAGTAAATATTTTTCTGACACACAACTGGTAAAATATTTAGAATGGTATAAGCTGTAATCCTAAGAATTAAAATAAAAGCAAAGAAACAGTTACTAAACGGTAAAAAGCAAACCAAACATAAAGGGAACCTATGGTTTTACTTGTTATTGTTTTTAAACATTTTATTGAAGATAGACTTCCATTATTAAGACAGAAAAAAATTGAAAATTCAATATAGCAAATAAGATTTATAGTTTTAAAAAATTAACGATGAAAAGAAAAAGCATTTGATTGTATATCAACATTTAAATCTCGTCTTTAAATTAGATCATTACTACTAATTAAATTCAGTATTTTCTTGTTTATTTATCTATTATTTTTGCTAGGTTACTATTAACATATTTTGCTTTTTACTATTAACATAAATGATATATTAACTTAAGAAACTTCCAAAACTTGGCTAATTACTTGGTTTTTGTTTAAAATATTCTTTGCCTACTTAGTAAAAAGAATTTCCATGCAAAACTTTCTCATAAAATATAATAAATGGAATATTAAACGACTTTAAATGATGTTACAATTCACTAATAATATAGACAAAATAACTAGCAACTAATTTGGAAATCGATGCTTACAGGAGACACTAAAAAGAGCATCAAAAACTTTTGACTCATAGCAGCCAATGACTTTTCTTTTCGAACTTCTGGATGTGAAAAAGTAGGGGTTAGCAGTTCTTTAACAACAGATTCACACTCTCTATCTAGTCGTTTACTAAAGTCTTGCACTTCATCTAAAATACATGACTGCCTTTGATAATTAGAACTACTCTCAACATCCTGAACATATTTAAATTTCCTTGCAATCCCTTCACAAACAGCAGAGTTCTGTAAAGGAAAAAATGAAAGATTTGAGATAATTATATTTATACCACTAAAAATATAATGAACACATTTGGAAAATAATGTTTATTACGATTCTCTGTTTAAAATGCATTTTGCAATAAAAATCCTAAAAGCGTGACAAATATAGAAAGATTTCTTATGAGTGGAAGTTAAAAATATATATCAGGGGTCTGTTTAGAAGAAATTTGGGTCCGTTAACAGACCCTTCACAAAATATCTTTTCATANTTTCATTTTGTTTTATTTTCCTTGGCCAGACCCTTCACAAAATAATTTATCTTTTAATCTGATCCTTCACAAATTTGTTTATTTCATTATTGTTTTGTTAATCGAATAAACCCTTCCCAGGAAGGAGGGGAAGAAAGACAGATGTAAACGAACAAAACTTTGTCTTCGGCAGACGCTTCTTCCTTTATTTGTTCAAAATGAATATACTGCATACAGCAGTATAGACTAAATACCAAATATTTGTATGTTGCATCTCTAATTTAGTAGCAGCAATTGCTGTTTGTTTTCAAAAACTTTATTTTTTAAATTATAATTTTAAAGTATTGAGCGTAATCTTGTATGTCTTTACAATTTAAAAACTCCTTGAAGAAATTTTTTTGCAATAACGGACCCTATTTGCACAAATTCACAAAACGGACCCTGGTTGAAAGAATGTGACTTAACCTTTATTTCATATTCCCAAATTAGGAGTAATTTTTTCACAATTGTACAAAAAAGGACCTTTCACAAAATTTCTGGACAGACCTGTATATACATATAAAAGTGCTTAATTATATGAAATAAACAACAGCCATAAAATATGTACATATATATCTCGTAAATCTTGTTTATATATATAAACAAAGGCTTGCATGCTAGAAAAGAAAACTAAAGTTGTAAATAAAAAATAAAAAAAACTACACAGACAAATATAGATATTAATTGAAATGTATAAATACATAAGAAATGAATAGTTAAAACTATGAGTTAGCAAAATTCTATTATTTTAAAGGCGTACAAGAATTTTTTTTATTTTTTTAAAGCATAAAAAATAAATAAAATAAAAATAGGCAAAGATATTTGGGATGAATAAAGACATTCTTTAAAAATGCAAAACAAAATTAGGCAAAGATTAAGACTGCCTCTTGATTTTGTATGTAAAATAAGCTAACAAACTCAACCAACCTTTATGGAGTTCAAAGATCTTAAAAGAAATCTTCGTCCATACCAGATATAATGATTCTTTGCCACCTTAGAAAGCATTTCAATGCTTTCAAAGACATTAATAATATCATACAGACGTCGTCTTTCCACTTCTGTAAAAAACACATTTTCATAAGAAATAAATTCTACTTTCCTTTTAAAATGGAAAATCTGAGTTAATATTTTCTGCATTTTAACAATTAAAGTATAAACAACAGAAAAATCATAATTTTACTTTAAACAATAACTATAAATTGTTTTTAGTTATAAATTTTTTTTCACTTCCACAAAACAGCTGTTAACAAGCTGATGTAACTTTAACAAACCTTTGTAAACCACAAATTAGGCAAAGGGTTCTTTTACAAAAAAATTATAATTTTACTTTACTGACTATTGTTATCCACAGCATATTCATATTGACATCAATAGTAGAAATATATATATATATATATAGAAACATGCACTAAGTTAATGCTTGTTATATTAATATAAGATATATTACATGTCATATAATATAAGAAATAAAATTATTTATTGATAAACAAACATAAAATAAAAGAGCTTTACAGAACTTTAATATGTTCATTTTAATATTAAATAAATTACAGTAGTTATATAGTATGTGTTAATCAAAGTTACTATTTAATCTTAAGTTCATAAAGAATATTTAACAAAAACTGATTTAGTAAGAGGTGAGAGTTGGCTTTTAAATTTTAAAAAACTTTGTTTTTAATATACAAACCTAGTCTAATAATGTATTACTTCAATTGTAGTTCCATTTTTTATGATATTCCTATAATCAGTCTCCATATTAGGTTTAAGAAAGCATTGGATGTTTTCGGACAATTTTAAAATGTTCTAGATAATTATCCAACTAAGAAACTACTCTCGATCATTTTCTTAATATAAATTAATGAAATAAATTAAAAAAAATAGCTTCACTGAAATAAATTAAAATAATCCAACATTGGTAAATAAAATTGTCATTAAACATAAAAACATTTTTAAAAAAATCAGTTTTAATAAAATATTAAACAACTGAGGAGTTACATAGCACAGTTTAAATTATGGAAGATACTGGATTTAGAGTGGTTAACCCAGACCTGGTTAATAGTGTCTTAACCATGTTCAAGACACTATTGATCAAGGATTAATAAACAGTTTATTAATTCACATTAGCCTAATTAAATTGATATATTTGTTGAATCTTAACTTCCAAAAGATAAATAAATAAATAAAAATTCATCAATGTAAAATTTTACACTGATGAACAGTACTTATAGATCATAAAACAACAATTAGTTTCTGATCATAAATCCCCCCCCCCGGAATTAACATTTTAAAATGCCATAGTTTATGAAACAAAATNAACCCCCCCCCCCCCCCGGAATTAACATTTTAAAATGCCATAGTTTATGAAACAAAATAATTAAATTTCAATATCATGCAAAAAAAAATCATAATACAAATTTATGTAAGAAAGTGCAACTCACTTAATTTCCATGATGCTTCATGCAGTGACACAACAATATTTTCTTTAGGATCAGGATCAAGAGGGTACATAGTAAGAAACCTAAAGAAAAATAAATTTTATTAAAAAAAAAAAAAGACTTTTTTAAAAATAATACACAACTGACATAAAAAAAAAAACAATAAACAAAACAAAACAATTTTGCACAAAATAATTTAAGCTGATGGAGATACAGTAATTTTTAAAGATTAAGACTAATTGTACTAAAAAAGAAACTTGAAGGAAACGAAATATCATAAAAATACTTTTTAAAAAACAAATTGAAGTAGCACATTTAAAATTAGTATAATAAAAAAAAAAATATGAATAGCACCGAAATAATTGAAAGCAAGTATATCTTAAACAATGTAAAAAAAAAACTTTGAGTCATTATAAGAAAAATCTATAAACTATTAAAAATGCCAGTGATGCTCAATTAACAGCAATAAAAAGTACCAAATATACAAATACTATGGAAATAGGTTTTTTATACCCACATAAAGAAAAAAATAGGAAGGAAAAAAAAGTGTACATATATTCTGAAGTATTATTGAGATTTAAGTTTCTAACATTTAATCTAAACAAATAAAAAAAAGTAGTACAGTCAAAGAGGGTTATTTAATATTTCATTAACTTGAATTAATACAGTTAAAAATTTCATGAATTTTTTTTTTCCTCATTGAAAATATAGACATCTAAATTCATGATGTGTAACATTAAGCGAAGTTTTGTTTTAAGCTTAAAAAAAATAAAAACGATAAAAGTTAAGCAAATATATATACATATATATATTTAATAGATAAACACAAAACAAGGAAGGACATACTTAAAGCAAACTAAAGCTAATGACTTTTCTTTTCGGCTGGGTTTGAAAGTTGAATCTAAAATAATATCTTCTTCATTGCTGTATTCAATACAGTTTTCTTCAGATTTTGCTGACTGTAAACAGAAATATATTTTTAAAAATATATATATATATATTCATAGCACTTTTTAGCACTTAACGTAAATATTTTAATAAGCATAAACACTAAAATGTTAAGTTTCAAAGCAAAGACTATATATTGAAATTTTAACATTTAGGACAGTTTAGTGTCTTATCTCAGTCCAAATTAAAATGAAAATTTCAGAAAATATTGAATCGAATTTCCCTAATATTCTTATAATAAATTTCCAGAACCAATTTTAATAAAAGCAGGTCAATTAGTTAAAATAATATAAATCTTCCATTTAAAGATGTAGTACATAAAAAGTAAATCTTTTGTGATTAAGAAAAAAAAATGAGATTGGTTATTGGCAATTAGTTACTACTACTGGTAGCAAAGCAACTACCCAAAAAAAAAAAAAAAATAAATAAATGAAACTGAAATTATCCTCAATAGATCTGAATCATGTGATCTTTAGAAAAGATAAGACAATAATATGAATTTATTACACTGATCAAATCAATTAAAATAATGCTTTTCTAAAGGTAAGATAAAACTGAATTTGTAACTTGCAAGTAAAAAAAAATAAAATATCTGCTTTAGTATAACTTCAGAATAGCAACAAATAACATAAAATAATTGTGCTTCCCATAAAGAAAGACAACTGTATAATAGAATATTTTTAATAGGTTTTAGTTTCCATTTATTTCTAATGAAAAATACATCTAATAAATTATCAAAGCATTTTTAAGTGCAATTCAGAATGAAAATCACGTGTCCCACAAGATGTCCACAACTTTTTTTTCGAATTTCCTCAACAATTTTTGACCAATTAAATGCACTATAGCGTATAAGAGAAACAAATTTCTTAATCTACGTAACTCTTGTCAGGCCAGTCTTGACACATGCTTCTAAAGCTTGGACAATGACAAAACTGGATAAAATTGTATCACAATAGTTGAGAGAAGGATTTTGAGAAGTATACTTGGTGGTGTAAATGAAAACAATAACTGGAGAAGGAGATTTAACTTTAAACCGAACAAGATTTATAAGCAACCTGATATTGTTAAATGCATAAAAATAAATAGAATGAATTGGATGGTTCACATGATTCGAATGAGTGATGATAATACAATAAAAAAGATGCTGCTTTTTAAACCCACTGGAACAAGAAAGAGAGGAAAGCGGCGATTGAGATAGGCTGAATCGGTGGAGTCTGATTTTCTTGCAATTAATGAAAAGAATTGGAGATCAAAGATAATTTGGAAGTCATTATGGAGAAATTCTCAGAGGAAGGCATTGTCTCACATTGGGCTGTCTGGCCAACTATGATGATGATAGCTTATAAGCCGAATCACTGACTTACATGTACACTATTAGTTGTACCTTCATTCATTGTTCTCGAATGTTTTCGTTTTCCCATATGTATCACCTTGTTCGGTTCCATCACAAATACTGATTGCATAATATTAAAAATGTTCGTTTTTTGTAGCTAGTTAATATAATAACTACCGATATTTGTAAAAAAAACTTTGATTTGAGAAGAAAAGCAGTAACTTCTGATGCTAACCACAAAGAAAACAATAATGTGTTACATTTTGAGAAAAATGCCTTAATTATATTAGTTTGCATCAGTCAATGAAATTGTTTAAACTTGTGGTGTTGCTGGTTTAAGTTATGATTGTAAGAACAGAAGGACACACACACAGAGTGACATTGATGAATACAGCAAAATGGAACCACAATCAGTGCTAACATTAATAAGGAATTTTCTAAAATGACTCGAACATACAGAAAATGAACAGCAATATGTAACAAGTTATTTACATTGAGAAAATTTTTTATTCAAACTAAGATTTCTTAATATTTTAAGTAAACAAATGTGTTTATTCTTTCTTTTGCATCCTAAATATTTTGCAGCAAGTAAATAATTTATTCAACTAGCTTTTTATACTTATAAGTAAATTTATTTTCAAGTTCATTATTTTTTTTAATACAGATTAAAGTCATTATTTGACATTTTATATTAACCCTGAGTTTTCCTGTTTGCAAAGAATGGTCTCACAAAAAACCATAGATCGAGGTTCTACACCAAGTTTTTTTTCTGGTAGTCCATTGTCAGTAATTCCAAAGTAACTATGTCACTGACGGTTTTAGAATAAAAAAAGTCCTTCCATGAATGGGAATGCGATACAGGTGAACGTGTGCAAGTACTGGAGAGCATTACTAAGGACTTTACAATGCCGAACCATTGCTAACAGCCTGTCAGTGTAGCTTAATATAACGTTAATAACACAACCAATTAACATGAAATTATATTTTGTTCAACAATAATAGATTATTCAACCTCCCAAAAAAAAATATATACAGACATTTGGAAATAGTTAATTAATCTAAAATATAATACTAATTTTCAGCAAGATAAATCCGCCGTGAATTAACTTTCAGTAAATGAATATTTGTTTCAGGTCACAAAAATCTAAATTAAATATAAATTTCAAAACACGCTAAGAGGAGAAAAACAGATTACTTATGATGATTTACACCAAATTTTTCTTAAAAACTTACCTTTGGAGTGTTGCATATATTAGCATAATCAAGAGAGGCAGCCAATGATGTCAGCAATTTAATGTTAGCATTTGGTGTGATAGGTTCATCTTTAATTTTAGTACACTTTTTAGGGGTGATTCTTCCAGAATTGCTTAAGTTATTAGAGACATCAACCTCAGGAGGCGTATTTTCTTTCACAGAAATATCCACTTTGCAAATTTTTGGTGATTTTAATGCGAATGGTTCTCCTGAACTATTCCTTTTTCTAGATGGTGGACTATTCATGTTTCTGACCTGAAATGTGAGATTAAATTACTTCTGTATAGTTATTTATCTGCTATTAAACTTTAAAGGAAACAAGAAATAACTTAGACAAAACTAAATATCTTTATCGCAAACACATTTAGGAAGGTAATATTTTATTATTTTTTTCTCCAAAGGCAGACACTTTTGTTCTTCACCTGGGAAGATGACAACCCCAGGTTTCCTGTTCTCCCTAATCTGTGGGAGCCCTGTTGGTTGCTTATTTCAGGTTTATCAGAACTAGACTTATATTTTTAGTTATTAATGGAAGAAAAACAAAATTTACCATGGAAAGTTTCTCCTGTACTCTCAATGCTAAAGACGTATAATTTTATGCCAATTTTAAAGTTTATATGCGATAAGGATTAAAGTTTTGTATTAGTCCACGTTATTGTGTGTATTTCACCATGAGAGACAAAAATAAAGAGTATGCAGACTTTCACTGGTGAATGTCAGCAATCACGTAGCCGCTTTGATCAATGTCTGAAATATCTATTATATTTGACTTTTTAATACCCGTTGAGGATAGATTAGAATAAACATCAGTGTTTGGAGTACCGGTTAAATGCATACAAAAAGGTGGCACTTGACCTTAAAACAAACATTGGGTAACAATCATGCTGGGAAGTGGCATTGAGCCTTAAAAAAAAACATTGATATAGGACAGATCGGGCATTTGCACTTAACTAGACCTAGTATATATTTTGGATATTTACCAAAGAGACTATGTGATTGTCAACATTCACTAGTGGAAGTCAACAACCACCAATTTCATTCACAGTAACACATACATTCATTTTAATTTATATAAAATAAACATTTTCTAAAAAATAAACTGATTGAAATTAGTATTATATGTACTTAATGAGGAAATAGATATTGATAACTTAGAACACAATAATGTGATAACTTAGAATATCACATGAATTTTTTGTGTTTGCATACAAACATTTAATAATTTTGCAACAGTTTTTTGGGTATATTACTTATTATTTTTTTTAATCACTTTCCAAATTAAAAAGAATATTCATTGGCACACAAAAGCTAATAGTATGGGTAACAAGAAAACCCATTAGCATTTTAATTAGAATGATTAAAATTATAATTTAAACCATTTTTTGAAATAAAAAAAAATAATTCTCTGTAATACATTGTGTATAATAAAACACTGTAGATTTTATGCATGGATCACTTTACTTTCATCTGAAAATAACTGATCTGTTTAAAAAATGAAAACATACCAAGAGATGTTCATTCAAGCAAGAAACACACAACTTTAGAGAGTAATTTATGGTATATATACATTTTGCTACACATTATTCTTAAAAGTTTTTAGAGATAGATTAAACATTCTAAATAAAATAAAGATGTATAGTTTATGTACAGTCGTAAATAAATTGGAAGTGAAAATATAATACCATGAATTTCTCTTTAGAATTACTTGTGTTAAATTAAGTATTACTTCTGAAGCTATTTTTAAAATCAAATAAAAAAAAGCATTTTTAAGTTTCCTTATAGCCATGATTTACAATGCAGGGATCAGTGATCATATATTGACATTTTTTCTAAGTTTATAGAATTGAATATATACTTTATATTGAACTTAATTACCTTGTGTAACAACTAGTATATTGAACTTTGAAAGTAGGTATAGTAATATCAAACAATCGTAAAATTTTTTAGAACTGTTTAAAATTTCTTTTAACTACTAATAAGGAATTAAGAGATCGAAGAAATAAATTGCTACAAGATAAAATTGATTAACGTTAAAATTTAATAAAGTGTTAATAGTTGAGATAGCCCTAAAATCGATTAAATTTTTTAAAAGCTTAAACACATCAGAAATATAATATAATGTTATTTCGAAGTAAATTTTTGCAAATATTATTCTTTTTAGAATAATGGATTGAAGTTCGAAAAAAAAATAATTAAAAACTTACTCAATAAAATACCACGCTTTGCTAGTTACACAGATAACCAAAATAGTTAATGTTGTTTATTTGCAATACAGATGACGTGGTAATATAATATAATCTTATCAAGAAATTTTCGTTGAGGCCAGATGTTTACACCATAGCTCATTCGATACGTTCCCAACCCAGCGTATAGCCCGTTGTGAAGAAAAACAACATTAGCGCCGGAACGGTTTTGTAGTTTGAGATGACTCAATCAATTTTCGCGGTGAAATTCAGATGTGGCCAAACTCTAAAATATAATTATTTTTGAAAATACTTTCTTCTAAGTTTCTGTTTTATACTCTTAAAATTACTTATTTTTAGGAATAAAATCTTATTTTTTCTCTAAGAGATTTTAAGATTATTGTTTTATTAAAAATATATTAAATGATTTAACGACTATAAGCAAATAAATAAGCATTAATTAAAACAGAAACTGGCAACAATATTTTAATGTCTCCTGATCTTTATTTATTTTGGTTTCGATCTTTTTAAACTATCTCGAAGTCTTTTTTGAAATTCAACGTGATGGATAGCACAAATTTAGAATCTTTGAATGAAAAGTTAGACAAACTATCTTTATCTATTCTGAAATCTATGCAAAGTATCATTTTAGAAAGGCAATATTTAGAGGATAACTTAAAAGAAGGCTACATTAACCTAGCTAAAAGTCGTTATTTGATGAGAGGACAAAAAATCAGTATGTTACAAATAAATACATCAACATTAAAATCATCTCTTCGATCTTTGAGTTCTGAAGATTTTGTGGAGGAAGCAAAATATATTAATTTTAATATTTTTGAACACAATTCTTCAAATATCGAAGAAAATGGTCTGAAACAAAGATTCACAGATGATGAAAAGCTAAGTAAAAGAATGGACGAGACACTATCTTTTTCGGAATGTAACTCTGAGGAAGCAACCAATTCAAATATAAAAGAAAATGATCCTTTAAGATGGTTTGGCGTTTTAGTTCCTGACTCTCTGAAAAACAGCCAAATGAGGTTTTTACAAGCAACCAAAACCGCTTTAAAACTTGCTTCGCTACAGAATGAATTAAATGCTCTTTGTGTTGTCTATAGAACTCTTAGATTGAAAAAGAAAGAGTTAAAGGAATAAAAAGCTGCATTAGTTTTTATATTATTACTATGATTGTTTAGTATTTTATTTATATTTCGTTTCATTTTTTTAAAGTTGTTAGGGGATAATTTAATCTAGAAATTTTAATTGCCTCTGTATCAATGATTTCCGTATCGTGAACTGTGACAGAATAATCACATAGTTTTGGCAACTTATGGGCAGTGGCGCTCAAAAATTTAAAAATGAAGAAAATCACAGTAAGGGACCAACTTAAAAGGTATAACTTGAAACATCTACCTGTTTTTTTTTTAAAGGTGCAAGTTTGTAATCTATGTGGCACCTTGGCGAATGTAGTTGGCACGACAGACCACTGTGTGGAAATATCTCCCTCCTGTGCTGTTATCATTTGTCTAACCGGATTTTAATAAATTGATGTTTTTTTTTATTCTTAAAGAAATATGTAGTGAATATTTTTTACTGTGTTATAATAAAGAATCTTATGTATTATTGTTTCTTTTTTACCAGAACTTTATGAAATGAGAAAATTTAAGTGAAAAAAATTAATCTTCATATCTAGTTCTTTATTGAAAATGGGATACAATTAATATTATAAATATCACAAAATTGGTTGAAAACCTTTTGAAACAAATTAAATGCAGAAACTTCCTGTATCATGAAAGTATTGAGTACTACCATTTAAAAGTATAACACAGGTTTTTTTTTTTAAAGATGTCAAATTTTTAATTCTGAGGAAAAAGTATTGGAACTAAATAACAGCTGAGCAATAATTAATATATTAATAACTTATCTATCTTCTCATTGCAAAAATATTTTATTTTATAACTGTCATTGAACAGCTGAGCCAGTTTAGAGTTTATGTCTACCAATGCTCAACTCCATAGCCTTGTAATTTTGAACCCAGTCTAGAAGACAACGGAACTTCTGGATCTAGTATTGGGAGAAATTTCCCTTTGTGGAGGATTTTTTAATGGAACTAACCCGCATTTGCGTTACATGGAGAGAACATCCCATGGTTAGTCTCACGGTGAGGGGAGCCTTACCCATGAACCGTCTACAACTATTTCACATCACCGCTGTGGTCAGTGCAAACCGGATGCGGAATTCGTATCGACCAGCCGTTGCTGAGATTTGAACCTGGTTCATTGGAAGGTGAACGCTCTATCCCCTGAGCCATCAAAGCTCTTCAAAAAATATTGAAATTACTTTAGATTTGAAGATTAAATGTGGATTGTTTTGATAATATTTTAAAAAAAAACTGCCTAAAACTAATTTATGCTGAAGAACTATTTTTGCAAACTGATGTTACATTTTTAGATCTATCCTTACATTATCAATCAAACACTCAATAGTGTGTATTGTTATTGACAAAAATGAATTATGTTGAAAAACTTGTAACCTCATCATATAATTTTTATTTTCATCTATCATTACATTGACCAAATACTTGGTATGTGATCATTATTGATAAAAATTTACTGAAAATTAATTATGACAATTATTATTTCTGTAAACTAATCCTAGAGCTGTATTATTGAAAATTAATTATAGCAGAAATTATTGTTTAAACTCATGCTCATGATACAATTTTAGATCTGTCCTTACATTGTTGACCAAATACTTGATGTGTGTTGCGATTGATTAAAACCAAAAATGTCAAAAAATATTTCTCTTCTCACTGTTAATAAGTAATAAGAAAATTTGAGATGTTCTTTAATATTTTATATCTTATGTTTGACTTCCAAATTTCATGCTAAAAGTGGAACATACAGTCACTTTTAATCTAGAAAACGTGAGAAATTATTTTTTAAAAAAAAAACTTCCGAACACAGTTTTCCGAATTTGGGAAAAATAATATATATATGTTGCCCATAAATTGATTGAATTGTTGCAATTTTCAATAATTACTTAAAAAATAATTGGAAAAAAAAATTTTGTAATTGAATTAGTTACTCTTTTTTTTTTTTTAGGTTCTTAAATACTCTCAGAATTCTCTTAGCTGAATACCTGTTCACTGTATCAGGTGACAAAAATTACATACTAAATTGATAATCAGTACTGAACATCATTACGAAATCCTGCGTGAAACAGAAAGATATTTACCAACACAATTAATAGAACTAAAATAATTCCATTTTTTTATGTATTATTATTTTTTGTCTTTGCTGGTGGCTTTACATTATTTAATTAATCAAAATATACTTTGGTAGTTAATCTCATCGAAAGGAAGATTAACTCTATTCAGTATCATTTGGCATGATGCTATTGCTCCAGGTCTATTCATAATAGTCAAAATTTACCACGATTAAGAATTTTTCTCTGGTACTTATCACTTTCGAATGCCTGTCAAAAATATCTTTCTATTGTATCTAGTGATAAAATTGCACAATATTAATGCAGTTGTAATGGGTACTAATTGTACCAAAGGTATTTTGGTATTGATTAAAATGGCACTTCTTACCGTAATATTTAAAGCAAAATTAATCAAGCATCAATGTTATATAATAGAGCAATTTATTAACTTTCGTATAAATGATTTAGGTACCATTTCTCCATTCATTTTTCTTTTCAGTTCATAACTTTTTTAAATTTTAAACTGTGTTGATTTTACATTATTTAGTTTGATATAAATACATTAAAAGCATAATTAAAATAATAAATGAACATGTAGCTTCAGATTACTGAAAAAAAATACTTATTTTGCTACATAGTCCCCCTATGCTACCATGTTCACATTGATTATTTAGTTTATCTGATATAAGAAATGATTTAATATCAAGAATGTGCAATAAATTCCTTTTTTTATTAATGAAAGCTATAAGCATGCAAATATCACAGATGCTATCCTTAAAATATTTGAAAAAAATAGAATTGATTTATATCAATGTTACTTCTGAATGTCTCTTCTGATAGAACGAATGAAAATTTTTGAACGATATTTAGGATCAAAGGCTAAAATTGACCCTTTCACTCACTGTTCAGGTTTTAGGACACTTTATAACCCTCGTTGAACAGCCTACCCAATCTTGGGATTACGACTACTGATGTTCAACTCCGTAGCCTTGTAATTTTGAACCTAATCTAGAAGATAAGGAAATTCCTGGATCAAGTATGGGAAGAAATTTGCCATCTAGGTTTACTTTAATAGAATTAACCCGCCATTTGCGTTGTTTTGAGAGGAAAATCTCCCACAGTTAACCTCACGGCAAAAGGGATGGTTCATAACGGTTTTGCAGTTAATAAGAAAGACAGACCTACTCTTCATTTAATTATTATTGTTGTGCCAACAAATACGTAAAATACGATAGTTAGAAATAATGATTTCGGGTTTATGTTTTACATTTTTATGATCATTTCTTTCATTTTTTTAAAATTCTATTTAAGACTACAGTTATTTGAAAAATAGTGTCACCATTAATGATGTATTTCCAAAGCTAAGGGATCTTAAGGCAGCAGAATTTTTTTTCTTCCAAATATAATAAAAAAGGAGAAATTGAAACAAAACAGAGAAATGTTTAGATTGTGAAAAAAATTAACAAAATTACTTTCCTTAATCAACCAGTTCTCTTATTTCTCTAATTAGTTGGTATTTATCAACTGTTAACAGCCTCAGCTGTTACAAATTGTTCTGCAGAATGTTAATGATTGAAATTATTAATAGTGAAATTGTAAAATGCATAGTTAAAATTCTAAAGAAACAAAACTAGTGTAATGTTTGATCATTGGTCTACGTAATAAGTAGTAAAATAATTATTAAGGTGTAACTAAAAAGTTGTTATTTAAGTAAAAATCATAAAATTTAATGTTTATTTTTTTAATTGTTTGCAGAAATAGGAAGATTTGTTTTAGTTTGGGGTGTGCTTCCTGATTAACCGTCTAAGATTGATAGGTACTTGTGGTATGGTTTCGTTAGCTAGAATATTTTGAAAAGAATTCTTGAGATAGAGATATCAAAAAATTTAAATATTTATGAAGACCAACAGATTTAAGTTAAAAAAATGTAACGAAATGTTTTCAAGCAATAAACATCTAAAAAAAATTATTTTTTTAAAAATTAAATTTTTCAAAAAAAAAAAAAAACTTAGAAAAGTTTTCAGACAATGAGATTACAAAATTTTTAAAAATTTTAAGTTTTTTTAAAAATTTTTAAATATATTTTCCGTTATTTAATGATGCATTTTATAATGGTGTGGTATAATAGTATTTTCCCAAAAGAAAGAGGATATCAAAAATAATTTTCTTCTGCAATATTTTAAAATTTAGAAAAAGAAACGCTAAATTGAAGAAAAATATTTATTGATAATAAATATTTTAAAAAAAAATACTAAACATTTTACTCAAATATAAATAAACAATATTAAAAATATTTTAATGTTATCATTTGAAAACTAGCCCAATAAGCATTTGAAAAATGTGTTACATTACCAAAATTACAATTAGGAGAATTACAATTAAAATTTTTAGAAACATGAAATCTTTTATTGAAACAGAATGGCCAACTTTCTATACATTTTTACTGTTAAGGATCAAGTTGAAAATTATTTTTCAAGCAATTAAGTTAAATACAAAACATCTAGCGAATTATTTACTCAAGAGCATAGACTAAAAACATGTGTTTAAATTTTTGGAGGAACATGGGATTGGGTAAAAGATGATATTTAAAGCAGCCTTTGTTCCACAGTTTTAATACCGCAATAAAAAAGGCTTCGGTTTTCTTCATACGACATTCCTCAATATTAATTCAAAAAATTCTATCACCCTATTACATTTTTAACTGTATACTTTTTATTATATTTTTTGAAAAAGATATTAAAAATAGAAATTGCAACAGGGCTGTAATTTCGCAGTCAAAAAAATTAGTTCAACTATCATTAATGTTAGTTAAAAAATTAGGTTAAAGGTAATGAAGAGATTTGTGATATTAAGAAAATTACATTTAGACCAACATTTATAATTATGTGTGAACAAAAATATTATTTAAACTATAATTTATCGCAAACTTAATTTATCACATTTGAACGTTTTTGGGGTTCTGATTAATTAATCGAATTAATTTGATTTAATCATTAAATTAATAAATAAATCATCTTTTAATTCATAAGTTCCAAAAACATATTTGACTAGTTGAGATGAAAATGTGTTTAAATAGAAGAGCAGAAATGAATGTAATTTATAACACTCAGCTTGTATGTGAAGCCGGCTTTTTGTTCTTAGTAGTGTTCTTTCAACTCAGCTTGAATTTGAATCGATTTATTTTTAATTTTTGACTATTTTATTTTTATTCGATAATTTTTAGCTTTTACTTGTTTAAGGATATCTTAAAAAGAAGTATCATAAACGTTTGTTTTTTAACAATATAAAGAAAGGGGTGCGTAGCGTTTTTAAAAAATGCTTTAAGGTGCTTGTTTTTGATTTACGTTTTGTAAAAGCCCATAAAGGTACTTTTTTTATTTGGGGTTTGTAAAAAGTGCTTCATCTTCTATTTT